AAAGTATTTTGGAAAGAACATATCATATATTCGAAACGGAAAGCATATTGGATCATGATGATGAATTGAATTATTAAAATGTAGAAGATCTGTTACTATTAGCATCCCTACATCACCATTTTGATGAGTGTTAGTGGGTTAGGTGCGCATGCCTTTTGGATGTGAGAGGGTGAACCATTCTTTTCTCTAAACTCACACACCTACGTCCGCATCCTAGCTTTTCAAACTATGAGAAACACGTCTGGCTCAAAAGTTCTTTTAGAAAATCAATCCGTGTCCATTTGAGAATGTTAAAGACGTTTGGTTCATATTGCAAACAAATATATATCTTGATAACAATTATATTGATGGGTCGATGATTCATTATGCTTGATGAAACAAGGACTGTGATTCGCTCATTTTTGTTCGAATTATCATCATTATGAGAGTGATCAGTAGTTTTCTTAATACTTTATTTCATTTTCATTCTCTGTATTATTTTTATTTGCTGATTAAGTAAAAAGGTAAACAAATAGTTTTCTGTTTTAATACAACAAGGAACGACGCGTAAGCTGAGCTGTAACACGTCACCTCATAAAAATGTTCCTTTACTAAGATATGGAGAATGGAGCAAATTCTTTCTGAATTTCTCTCTACGCTATGAGTTCCACTAATGAGAAAACTACAAGCTCAAACAGAGGGTATCTGGAAATGTGATATTCGCATTACTACGATTACCACTAACTGATGATTTGTACTTGTCGGTAAGGAGAAAATGAGTCAGTTTGACTGCTACTTCAAAAAAAGCCTATTTTTATGAACATAGCAATATTTTTATAAACTTTGATCAACGGTATTCGAAATCAAGGAATCCAAAGGAGGGGAACATAAGAAGACGAATCGACCTATCTCGACATTTTCGAAACGAGTATATACCTCAATATATAATGTAGATGACGATTCGTTTGATGTCCCATTCAAATTATTTGAGAAGCCATTTGATGGCTTCTGACCGAGATTAATATACCATATTTTTATTGTACCAAAATAATTGTATCGAACAATACGTTTGTCAAAACATATCTTTGACGGTCTATAAATAATCATTTTTGAAAGAGCAGCAAAGTTTGCACAGATCTTTATATGATCCATCGAGAAATAATAAACATAAGCTGAATTTATGGTGAACAAACGGTGTTTCTATCGATATTTTATGTATGTCATGGAGTTTCACGCTTCTCAATCGCTTTCCTTTTTAGGGTTCAATGCATTTTTTGATGAACTAAACGTTGCTGTAGTTTTCTTTTAGTTATTTTATTCGCTATAATTCTTCAAGGGCTGATATTGCCTAAAACTACGACCATATGTGCTCCCATTTCAGAAGGACATATAATAGTTATTTATATTATCAAAATGCAAAACAAAAACCAATTCTGTGATTCTTTGGGACTGAGCCAAAGTGATTTGTGGACGTTTGTCATCTGTATATTTATGATATTTACAAGAGAATTGTACTGGCATGTAGCCCGTCAAAACTGCATTATATTTGTAAGAGGAAGGCCCATCGTAAAGCTATGTTGAAACTCATTGAGAAGCGTGAATCTCTATGAAATACTTAAAACATCGATAGAAACAGTATTAACTCACAGTAAAATCAGTTTCTGTTTATTATTTCTAGTATGGTTTATCTGCGGATCTATACAGAATTTGCTACTATTTCAAATAAGACTATTTATGCGTAGACGAGCAAATACTTCGACAAATTCTGGATCAGAAGCCATCAAATCACTTCCCAAATAGCATGAATGTAGCATCAAACAATTTGTGGTTTAATTATGGATCGAGATATATACTAGTCTTGAAAATTCCTATGTGGGTTGATCCGTCTTCTGATGCGCTTCCATCCTTTATTAATAGATTTTCGAAATGTGTGCTTTTGATTTTTTTTATTCAGGAAAGGCTATTTTTCAAACACAACGACTCCACAGCCTTACAGAAACCACGAATAGAGTTGAATTCCTCGATCCCTAAACCATTTGATCAAACTTCAAACTCATGATTATTTTCGTAAAATAGGTTTTCTTCAAGCAAATAATTAAGCTAACACATTTTTGGTTATCTAATAAGATAGTTTGTGGGTAACGACAACTTTTCTCCTGAGTTCTCTAATAAAATGAAAACTACTTATTACTTATCGGCAAGTACTACTTAGCACTTACTAATGCGTGGTAATTGATGATTCTAATATATGTTTGGTCAGTGGTAGATGATGAAAATTATTATGAAACAATAAATAATCAATTGTTAAGCTAAACATTGATTACTGCTAAATAGGATATTTTTCAATGATGAAGACACTGGTACTTTGGTAGTTGTAAGTGTAAGTAACAGTGAACGTGCCACTCCTAAGGATATAAGGTGATAAAGCTACTTTGTTAATGGTTTGTTTTCTGAGTTATACATATTATATTCGTATTCTCTGATAGTCCACTGGACACTAAAAACTCAAATGATGATATTTCGACTGGATCTTTTCCTCGCATATATCTCACAGTTATTACAATATCATGAAGTTTTAAGCGAAAACGTGCGCATTTGTCTGAAGATCATGAATTAACAATGGGATTTGGTTATTTATACTCTACTTTAGTAAGCAAATAATTCTTTGAAGTTGATCATCTCGACAGGAAGCCATACTTTTATCATTGAAGCTTTCAAAATATATTCATAATTTCATAGATGCAATAAACAAGGTCTAGTAACGAATGAGTCCAAGGACGACAAATGAGAATGGAAGAGCGATCTCGTTGTTTTGAAAATTAAAAACAAGCATATACCTATAGAAAACATGGTCTAACAATGCTATATGATCAGAAAAAAAAGAAAGTTACAAGTTCTCAGAAGGTTCAACAAATCCTATTTTACTTGTATGACTTTTATAAATTTTCAGTATGAAAACTCGCTAAATCCAACCGAATCTTTATATCAGTCATAACTAGTTTTATTTGCTGTATTTGATACTGGTACTTACAGTGTCAAATTTAAACAGAGAACTGTTAAGATTTAACAGGATTCGATAAAAACATGACAGCTTTCACTGAATTCTACCAAATCGCAGAAGTTCTCTTTCCAGATTTAGCACATAAAGTATCTGTGTCAATTATTGTATCCTTGCAGTTAATGACAGAAGATATCAGAACTGAATCATCACTCAATGCATCAAGCGACAACTATTAATAAACTATCAGTGGTATATCCATTGTGTAATCTCGAATGTTGATGAAAAAAATTTTTATGTTCTGATTGTTGTTATTAATTAACTATGTGCGACTTTCATGACGCAATGACAGAAGTATCACAACATAGAGGTACTGACATTCATTTGATCTGGCAACGGTTCGACATTTTCATCAGTACATTACAATTGTAGATAATAATATATTCTCGAAGAGCCAGTAAGATAGAAACGAATGCGGTCTTGTACCAGCAGATATTCAAATTTCAGAAAAAAGCTAAATTTTCCTCATAAATTAGTCAATTTCAGAAGTTACTCCCACATATATACCACATCAGTTGCAAAGTCCAGAAATTACCGTCATTATCATAACACCAATAGAAATAAACTGTTCCGAGATACATCCCTTTGCAGAAATTTCAGTAACTTCTGAAATTTCCTTCAACATATCGTATGAATATACATACATATTCATACGATGACAAGAAAACTTTACTCAAAAAATAAGTGAAAGTTTTAAAAATTACTAGCAAATTTTGGAAATTACCAGAAAATTTCAGTGATTTCCAAAGTTCCCATTAATTCATGGAGTAGGATTGTCTTTCCATGATATCAGTATATAGATATTCATAAAACGCTTTTTAAGGAAATTTTGGAAATTGCCGAACTTTCCTGACAACGTTCTATGCGTTGCTGGTTATTTTTTTCGATGGATTACTTTGGTATGATGAAAATCTGAATATAAATATTTTGAGCTTGTATTTAGAAGCAGTCAACGGTTCTTTTTTTCATCATATTTATTATTGTGTTTATTCGTCCTCATTCACTACGCATTTCGTGAACGAGTTTCTGAAGAAAATGAAAGAGAGCGCACAGTGTGTAACGTGAGGGATCAATTTCGCGCCTTCAACGAGATTTTATTGAAAAGTATTGATTTCCATCCAGAGTTGGTTGTAATAATCCCACCATTTCCGATAGATGAACACCAGCATTATGGAAATCTGATACAATCCATTAAGGAAAGTTGAACCATAGTAGTTGATCAGTCTTTATTTCTTGGTTCTTGTGTTACTTAGCCCCCAGATGTGAACTTAATTTTAAAGCAACGAACCAAAATCTTATTGACTATAATTACAGTCCACAATCTGTCGCCATGGGCGACTTCAACAACGATAGTTGGTTAGATATTGCTATTACTAATTATGCCGCTGACAATATAGCTATATATTTTGGATATGACAATGGTACTGTAGCAAGCTCATTCAAGTATTCCACCGGCTCTGGCTCGGCTCCATGCATGATTGCTGTTGGTGATTTCGACAACGATCATCGACAGGATGCCGCCATCGCGAATTTCGGTACAAACAGCGTCGCTATATTTCTTAGATTCGAAAATGGGTCTTTTGCGAACCAGACGGTGCTTTCAGTTGCGTCATCACATCCTATTTGGATCCATGTAGCAGATCTCAACAATGACACAGCACTAGATATTGCCACTGCTAACTACGGCACACACAGTGTTAGCATATTTTATGGATATGGAAATGGAAGCTTTTCAAGACCAAGCACATACTCTACAGGCTATGACTCTTTCCCATTTGCGGTTGTCAGTGGTGATTTCAACAATGACAAACAGATGGATCTTGCTATCGCTAATTATGGTACAAACAATGTCGGTATACTCCTTGGCACTAGTAACGGCACTTTCACAAAGCAGAGCACGTTCTCAACTGGTTTTAATTCCCATCCATACTCGCTTGCCGCTGGTCATCTAAACGAGGACGCCATGTTAGATATTATCGTTGCTAACCATGGAAATAAAAGTATAGGTGTACTTCTAGGTCAAGGCAATGGAACTTTTATAGGTCAAACGACATATTATTTTGGTAGTGCTTCTCCATATTCTATTGGCATCGGTGATTTCAACAATGACGATCAAATGGATTTAGTTGTAACGAATAATGGCACTGACAATATAGCTCTACTTGTTGGTTATGGCAACGGTACCTTTGCAAGTCCAAATATGTATTCAACTGGATCTTCTTCGTCTATCTCTCATGCTATAGGTGATTTAAACAAAGACAATCGTTTAGACATTGTCGTCATCAACAATGATACGAGCACCATATGTGTCCTGCTTGGTTATGACGAGTTCTTTCCACTTCAAACGACATATTCAACTGGCACTTATCCACAGTCTTTAGCTGCCGCTGATTTTAATAACGACTATCGACTTGATATTGTCGTCACTAATTTGTTTGGCAAAACCATCAGTATATTTCTGGGATATGGTAACGGTTCTTTTTCAAATCAAACAACTTATCCAACTGGTTTGTTTCCCCAATCTGTAGCTGTTCGTGATTTTAACAAAGACACTCGACTAGATATCGTCGTTGCTAACAGTGTTGATAATACTGTAAGTGTGCTTCTTGGATATGGTAATGGTTCTTTTGCAAATCAAACGACTTATTCAACTGGCGATGGGCCAAGTTCTGTAGCAGTTGAGGATCTCAATGACGACAGTCAATTGGATTTCATCGTAGCTAATCAATATAGCAACACTATAAGTGTACTTCTTGGATATGACAATGGGTCTTTTGCAAATCAAACGACATATTCAACTGGCGATGGGCCAAATTTTGTAGCTGTTGGTGACTTCAACAATGACACTCAACTGGATATTGTTGTCACTAATTCGTTCGACAACACCATCAGTGTATTTCTCGGATATGGCAATGGTTCTTTTGAAAATCAAATGACTTATTCAACTGGCTTGTTTCCACAATCTGTAGCTATTGGTGATTTTAACAACGATAACCGGCTGGATTTCACCGTCGCTAATCAATATAGCAACACTGTAAGTATATTTCTCGGATATGGCAATGGCTCGTTTACAAATCAAACGACATATTCAACTGGCAATGGACCAAGCTCTGTGGTTGTTGATAATTTTAATGACGATACCCAAGTGGATATTGTTGTTACTAATACTGGTAGTAACAATGTAAGTGTACTTCTCGGATATGGTAATGGCTCGTTCGCAAAACAAACGACATACTCAACTGGCTCTTTTCCAGTTTCGGTAGCTGTTGGTGATTTGAATAATGACACCAGATTGGACATTGCCGTCGCTAATTATCAGAGCAACACTGTCAGTGTACTACTTCGGTTTGATAGAGGAGCTCTGAAAAACGAAATGACATTTGCACCTAGTGATGCTTCTGTTATGCGAAGTGTCGCCATTTTTGATTCCAATAACGATGGTCTACTCGATATCGTCGTTGCCAATTACGGTACTAATAACATAGGTGTAATTCTTGGATATGTGAATGGCACCTTTAGACATCAAACACTGTTCTCGGCGAGCTCAGATTCTCATCCCTACTCAATTGCCACCCATGATTTCAATAAAGATAGTCAAATTGATATCGCAGTGGCTAATCATGGTAGTAAACGTGTTGGTATCTTTCTGGGAAACACTAATGGATCTTTCCACAGTGAAGAAAATTATGGGAGTGGTTTGGATTTCAATCCATCGGTTATTGTCGCCGGTGATTTCAACAAAGACGGGCGTTCGGAAAGATGTTGTATCAATCAGTTATACTACTAGACAAACATACCCTTCTCAACAGTATGATCGAAAAGGAAAGAAAAAAGGAAAAATGTCGAAGAAAATAGGGAGAAATGTAGAAAAGAAAAATATAGAAAGGAAAAATATCGAAAGGAAAAGAATAATCGTAAGAGGCCGTTATAATAAAATGGCTAAAATATTTCTCTTCTGATTGGCTCATGTCGTTAAATGTGTTTATTCTTTAGGTAAAGATATACGAATTGATCTCTCGTTATTTTAGATATGATGATCACTATTTCTAATACAATTTCATTCATTATTTCTCAAAAAGGCAAAAAAATGTTGAACATAGACAATTTCATCTTTAAATTGAATAAGACGAGTACAAAAAATAATCTTATTAATGCTTAGATCTACATTGCACTGTAAATGTATATACTGATCTGGATGATGTTATCTTAAACGACCATAATGTTGAAATTTCTCACGATTTAAGTTTTACCAAATAATGTAACTATTCAACTAAAACAGACGATATCTCACCCACATATATTGGAGATTACAGAAATTACCGGTAGAATCTCACAATTTCTAATATCTTTAGAGAGTGCGATTTTCTTCTTCACTATGTGTCCTTCGATATGTTTATTTGAAATTTATGAAAATCTTGATATTCGCTCAATATCTTTGTTCAAAAACTGCTAAATAATTTTCTTGATTGAAGTATAATGAATTTTTTTTTCAGTGGAAGTTAGTTAGTTAGTTAGTTAGACCCGCTACCGTTCCCGGTGTAGGGTGAGAAGAAAAAAATACACAAAATACACAAAAAATAGCTATTAGCAAAGTTAGAGTTTTTGTCTTCTTTGACGGCCATATTGTTAGAACTCGACTGACAATGAGAACGTGGAGATCAGGAGACCACCCTCCGGTAAACCAGCTTTAAATGGACTCCGTCATAGACCATACTCACAAAGTTCAGAAGGTGTCTTACAATCATTCGAAGATCATTTCCAATTCCTTGCAATCCATTCCATTTAGAATTTCTTTATTTAATTTTATTGTTCTTGCACCAAACTTGAGCATTAACACACGCCTTTACATGATTCGTAATTCCTTGAGGTTTAAATTGAATTCCGCAACCAGGACAGGCATAATGATTATTTGTATTTTTAACAAGAATTTCCGTTACTTTTCTTTTGACCACTCCGTGTGATGCAGCCAAGTCATCATTTCTTCGATTTACAGCTCTTTGTTTATATTCGTAAATGATTTCTTTAATATTTTGATATACAGGTCTGCTGTGTACATTTTTGTTAATTAATTCTCTCCAGTGATCTCTGTTTAAAGAACCTTTTCTCCAATTTTTAATCTGACAGTATTCAATATCCTCTTTCACTTTATCCTCCCACCTTTTCCTAATGCCGATGTTACCAGGACGTTTCTCTTCTGGAAAATAAGAGAACGTGATCTTTTTCACTACAGATGGTTCATTATCATTGTTCATCATTCTGTTCGCATGACCAAACCACCTTAATCTGTTTCGACGTAGAATTCTTTCAATTGATGGCTGTCCAGTGATTTCTAAAATTTTATCATTTGAGATACGATCACCTATATTGACACCAATGATTATTCTAAGGCACTTCATATAAAATGTGTTAATTCTTTGTTCATTTGTTTTAGTGATTGACCAAGTTTCACTTCCATACAGCAGCACTGGTAGTACACATGCTCTATATATTTTCAATCTAGATTTAATTGAAATCGTCTTTCTGTACCAGATAACACTGCGTAGCATATTGAAAGCAGTGGATGCTTTCACTAATCTTGTGTTGATTTCCTCATCAGGTTTTTGATCTCTTGATACACCACAACCTAAATAAGTGAAGAATTCTACAGTTTCTACCTTCTGATTTCTAATATTAATATCAAAATCAGGTTGATCAACTTCATGATTGTGTATAATTTTATTATTTTGATCAATTTCCAGTTGTTTCAATGTCATAATACACGTTTTCTTCACATTCATTGATAACCCGTATTCTTGAGTAATTTTTTCAAAAGTTTCAATGAATGTCTTTAAATCATCAGATGTCTCACACATGACGACTAAATCGTCTGCGTACATTAAAGCCAAAATGTCGAAGTTCAAATACTTTTCTTTTGCGCCGTGAAAAAAATCATTTCTTCCATAAGAAAATTGTACACCTGTCACATCTGCTTCTTCGATAACCTTCCTGATGATAAAATCAAATAGAATATTGAATAAAATTGGAGAGGGAATGCCTCCTTGCATTATACCATTATAAATTTCGAAGCTATCCGAGAATTCACCATTCATTTTCACCTTTGCTTTTGAATTTGTATAAAGCATTTTTAGAAGATTGACTAGCTTTTCTGATATTCCATACTTCCTGCATACTTTCCATAATAGTTCACGATTAACAGAATCGTACGCTTTTGATATATCAATAAAACACATGAATAAGGGCTTGTTAAATTCTCTACGTTTTTCCATACATAATTTTAATATAGAGATTTGATCAATTGTAGATCTATTAGTTCTGAATCCAGACTGTGCTTCCAATAGTTGACGATCGACCAGGATTTGAATACGATTCAGAATAATACGAGAGAAGAGTTTACTAGTCACACTGAGAAGTGAAATACCTCTGTAATTGTCACAGAGTTGTTTGTCACCTTTTTTAAATAATTTAATCAAAACTGCTAAATTCCATTCCTCTACCATTTTCTCTTGTTTCCATACATCACTGAACATTTCATGTAGCCACTTGATAACTGGTTCACCGCCAGCTTTAAGAAGGTCAGCAGTAATTCCATCGTAACCCGGAGCTTTTCTTGACTTCATTTGATTCAAAGCTTTTCTTACCTCAGGTATTGTAGGTTGAGCATTTTGACGTTCTTCTTCTTTCTTTTCTATGCTTTGTATTTTAATTTGATCAATTAATTGAAGATCTACTGATGATGAAACATTAAGTAATTCATCAAAAAATTCTCTCCATCGTTCCAATTGATCAGTTGAGTTTAAAATCAGTTTTCCATGTTTATCTTTAATCGCCATATTCTCCACTCTCTTCATTTTACCACTAAGACGTCTAATAATATTAAATGCATTTACTGGATCATTTAATTTAATAGAAGACTCAATCTCTTCACATATTTCATCCCAATACTCTGTCTGACGTTTATCAATTTTGGTCTTTGCTAATTTTCTTAAACGTTTATATTTATTAGCATATTCAATTTCTAATTTTGTTCCTCGGTGATTTTGCCAATTAACAAAAGCTGTTGCTTTCTTTTCTACAATTTCTAGTATTTCATCAGTAAGCCATTCTTTACGCTTGCGAATTTTGTTTTTATCTATTTTAAAAGTTTTCTCTGCATTTGTTTTCATATGTTCAACAAATCGATCATATTTTTCATCAATACTAATTGTTTCATCTGTTGCATCGGAAAGTGTTGGAATGAGGTCTTTTTGAAATTGTTTTAATGCATTATCATTTTTCATTTTTATTGGATCATAAACTACTTTCTTCTGAACTAATTTCCTTCTACTTTTGAAGTGTAGTTTAATTTTTATTCGCATTAAATGATGATCTGTACCAATTGCACCAGCAGCTTTTCTATACATACGACAGTCTTCGACGCTCGATCTAAATTTCTTATTTACTAATGTGTAGTCAATCATATGCCATTGTTTATTTCCTGGATGCATCCATGACGTTTGATGTGCTAATTTGTGTTTAAAGAATGTGTTCGTAACTATAATACTATTAATTGTACATAGATCAATCAGCTTTTCCCCATTTTCATTTGTAATGTCAACTGTGTAAGGACCAATACTATTACATAAATTTTGCTGTTGTTGTTTTTTCCCTTCCACTCTTGCATTAAAATCACCCATGATAATATACATATCTCCAGTTGGAATTCGACTAATAACATCTTGTAAATCGTTATAAAATTGTTGACTAGCATCATTCATTTGGTTGTTAGTTGGATTCACAGGAGAGTATATAGAAATAATAGTCAAATTTACAAATAAACATTTCAGCCTAATTTTTACGATCCTCTCGCTCACTGCTTCCCACTCCGAACCAGAATCTTTCCATACCTTAGCAGCTGCTTTATCCAAACAGATAGCTACACCATGAGCATTTCGAGTTTTATTTACTGATGGCAATCCAGAGAAAATCCATGTAAAGTCATTTATTAATTTTACTCCACAATCATACATACACGTTTCGCTTAATGCAGCAATTTGAATACGATATTTTTGTAATTGTTTCATAATAAGTTCCTTCTTTGATTGTTTGACACAAGTTCTAACATTCCAGCCTCCGAAGAAGACACTGTGATGTGCGTTCGCGCACTTGTTTTTCTTCTTTTCTGTAGCAAGTTGGGTTTAAAGTCTGACTGACGAGTTGCTAGCACGACCGTCCGACAATTTGGCTACCGGCAGCCCAGGGTCGCCAACCCTGTGTGAGTTAAAAATTCACCCGGCAGGCTACAGTGGAAGTTACTGTAATTTCTAGGAAAATTCATAAATTCGCTATAAATGTCTGGTTACTGTTTTCTATAGATTAAGAGGTTACGACAGAAAAGTCCATTTATAAGGAAATTTACTTTTCAAAAACCTATACATACCTATCTCCTGAGGAACTTCAAACGATTCGCTGAGAATCCCTCTCAGATGTTTTGAACACTCGCACAGAACCTCCATGAGCATACCTTCAGAATGTCATTCAAATGAATACTTGAGCACTCGAAGAAGTGTAAAACTTGTAGGACATACTATGCGAACGACTTCTATAGTTATCGCATATGATGACACTGACAATGTAGATGTGTTCGCTGTGTATGACACTGGATCTTTCACTCATCCAACGACATACTCCACTGGCTTCGGTCCAAACTCTGTCGTTGTTGTTGATCTTAATGATGACAACCGACTGGATATCGTCGTCGTTAATGGTGGCAGCAGCAATGTAGGTGTGCTTCTTGGATATGGTAATGGTTCTTTTGCCAAACAAGTGACATATTCAACTGGCTTTTTACCGAGTTCTGTAGCTGTTGACGATTTTAACAATGACACCGTACCAGATATTGCCGTCGTTAATTGGAATCATAACACAATAAGTGTACTTCTTGGATATGGCAATGGCTCTTTTGCAAATCAAACAACATATTTCACTGGCTCTGGTCCAAGGTTTATAGCCGTTGGTGATTTTAATAACGACTACCGACAGGATGTCATCGTCACTAATTATGCTAGTAACACTGTAAGTCTACTTCTTGGATATGGCAATGGGTCTTTTGCAAATCAAATAACATATTTCACTGGTTCTGGCCCAAATCCTATAGCTGTTGGTGACTTTAACAAAGACACTCGACTAGATATCATTGTCGCCAATGATGGTGACAACACTGTAAGTGTGTTTCTCGGATATGGAAATGGTTCTTTCGCAAATCAAACAACTTATTCAACCGGTGATGGGCCAAGCTCTGTAGTTGTTGGCGATCTTAATAACGATACCCGACTGGATCTTGTCGTCACTAATGTTCGTAGTGACAGTGTAAGCGTACTTCTTGGATACGGCGATGGATCTTTTGAAAAACAAAAGATATATTCAAGTGGTAATGGACCAACCTCTGTAGCTGTTGACGATCTTAACAACGACACCCGACTGGATCTTGCTGTCACTAATGGTCGTAGTAATAGTCTAAGCGTATTTCTCGGATATGGCAATGGTTCTTTCGCAAATCAAACGACATATCCAATTGGCTCCTATCCACAATCTATAGCTATTGGTGACTTTAACAGCGATGCCAGACTGGATATCGTAGTCGTTGATTTGAATGACAACAATATTGGTGTACTTCTTGGATATCCCAATGATGCTTTCGTAAAGCAAATGAGGCTGATGACTGGCAATGGATCGCGACCTAAGTCATTGGCCGTTGGGGATCTTAACAATGATGGTGAAACAGACATTGTCGTCGCAAATTCAGGCGTTAACAATGTTGGAGTTTTTCTGGGATATGGCAATGGTTCTTTCTCTAATCAAAGAATATATTCAACTGATTCGTCTCCAAGTTCTATTGTTGTTGGGGATTTCAACAACGATAGTATACTTGATTTGGTCGTCGCTAATAATGGCAATGACAGCGTTGGTGTCTTTCTTGGATATGTTAATGGCACTTATTCAAACCAGAAAATATTTTCAACTGGTTATGGCTCTCAACCGAAGGCCATTGCCGTTGGTGATTTCAACAACGACACTGCACTAGATCTTATCGTCGCTAATTACGGAACAAACAACATAGGCGTGTTGCTTGGATATGGCAATGGGTCCTTCGCCGCTATAACGACTTTTTCGATCGACTATGGCTCTCTCCCATTCGCAGTTTGTGTTGGTGACTTTAACAATGATGGAAAACTGGATTTTCTGGTCGCCAATGAAGGTAGTGAGAATCTGAAAGTTTTATTACAGACTTGTTAATGTTGCAGCTAGTAGCTTGACTTTTATTTTCTTTTATTTTCTGTTTCTAACTTCTATCTAGTACTCTTTATATTTCTTGTAACCGTTTACCCATTTATCTCTTGATTTATATGCTCATATAAACTGGTTAGGAGAGTCTCTCTAAACCAATGTATTACACATTGCGACCTTACTCAAGAGTTTCACCAAATAGTTTTGACTACGCATTCACTCAAATAAATCAGAAAAAGATACATTAGGGGTGTGGGTGTGTGGGGTGTGGCTGTGGCTGTGGATGTAGGTGTCGGTGTGAGTGTCGGTGTGGGTGTGCGTATGGAAGTGAGTGTGAGTGAAGAGAATAATCGAAACCAACACACACAGTCACCACCACACTCACATCCACAACTACACTCACACCGCAATCTGCAACCAGACTTTACAGCCTCGGCGTAAGAGAGAAGAACGCGCAGAGTCACAGCTAACTCCTTAATATCCATTTGGCGGAGACAGTAAATATTGGACCATCCAATAAAAGGTAGTTGTATATGGTTCGTTTATCGACAGAGCATGTGCGTTAAAGAATTCACCCATTCGTTCTTATTGCTTTATAAATAAGAGATGCATTGCTTCGTCACTTTCATTATATTTGACGCTACCTTTCGTTATCTGAAGCACTATAAACATAAGATAGAGAGTAATAAACCTTCAGTAACCATTTATTACCGACGGAGAAACTTTTTTTAGGCTTTTGAGTGTAAACTACCCTATAAACATAATTGTTTATATAAACCCCACGAATATTTGTGATCCACTGAAAATTCATATACTCTTGTACTGTTTTCTGTATTCATCAGTCCTCATTGAGAATTCGACTGAAATAAACCCTTCAAACGAACAATGTATCCTTGCACGGTTTAAGCACAACGATAGAATAATAAACTGTTTGCCTGAAGGTTTATTCTGTTAATTTTCTGAATAAGGATTTATAAATACAGAAAACAGCTCAATGGTATATACATTTTCAATAGGCCACTAACCCTTGCCAAGACTAATGGAAAACAAGCTTATGAAACAGTAGATTACGCGCATAGACCTTTCAAACTGAAATTTTGCCCATAGATAGGCCTTACAAGCGCTAGAAACTCTCCTAAGTTTGAACCAGAATAAATATATCTTTATCGAGATATTCGCTTTTTAAAGAAACGCCTGTTTTGAGCTTTGTTTCAAAATAAGGACATTTTCATGACAAGCTGATATCTCGATAAGGATGCGTTCGTTCTGACTCAAGCTTTGGGGAGTTTCTGATGCTTATAAGACCTATCTATGAGCAAAATTTCAGTTTAAAATTCGATCATTCAGGTACTCAGAAGAATCTGATGCCCATAAGCCAAAATCGAGTAAAAGGTCCATAACTCGACAACAAAAGTCTGGAAAACCAAACCATTCTAGGACATTTAATAACTCATTGAGATCTATAGTTTGAGCACATACTAGGTCCAAAATCGATTTGACAGTTGTGGACATTTCTTTGTTAGTCGAGTGAGTGATACGAAAATTCCTAACGAGCACTAGAGTATCATTCTTATCATCTATTGGAATATGATGTGTGTCAAACGCAGCAGACTGCACTCTAAAAAAAAAAGGAGTTTTACCGAACCCTCCAAAAAGGTTCCGTAGATGCTTAAAAGCTTCTAAATATGTTCAAACGCTTAAATAGATGATTATCAAAATCTACGAAACCTTAAAAGGATCTGGCCGCGGGTACACCGCCGGAACCATCTTCTACGAAACCTTTTTTAAGTTCCGTAGGGCGAAAAAAAGTTCCGTAAGAAAATACGAAACTTTTATGGTTTCGTAGTGGACCTTATGGTTTCGTCCAAAACCCTACTGCGAAACCATAAAAGTTTCGTATTTTCTTACGAAACTTTTTTTCGCCCTACGGAACTTAAAAAGGTTTCGTAGAAGATGGTTCCGGCGGTGTACCCGCGGCCAGATCCTTTTAAGGTTTCGTAGATTTTGATAATCATCTATTTAAGCGTTTGAACATATTTAGAAGCTTTTAAGCATCTACGGAACCTTTTTGGAGGGTTCGGTAAAACTCCTTTTCTTTTTAGAGTGTGTCTATGGAAAACTGTCGTCTGCAGAGAATACATCCTATTCCGCGATGTTGAACATTGCGGAATCAGTTCCGCCCCCGGAACCAGTTCCATCCAATTCCGGAAACTCAATCATCATTTAATATAACACATCGACTCGTCACTGACCGAGTTCCACCAAATTCCCGGAATTCCCAGAACTAAGTTCAGACGGAATTACCCCGCATTCCCAGCAATTCCGGAATCGGCCGGAATTATCGGGAATTCCTAGGAATTGATTCCGATTTCGGAGTTGGTGGGGATTCCATCTCCACTAAATTCCCGGAATTCCGGAATCGGACTGATTTCCTACGAATTGCGTGCGATTCCGTCCGATTCGCTGTAATTCGGTCTCGACTCAATTCCCGGAATTCCGTAGCGGAATTACTTTTCGCCCTCACCCTCACGCATGGTGTTGTGACCGAAGATTATCCTCTCGCATAAGTTATTAATTCCAGTACGGAATTCCGAGAAATGAGTCGTGACTGTACTTCCACCAATTGGCGAAATTCCAAAGGGTATATTGGCGAAAGTACAGTGAACTTTCGCTAATTGGCAAAATTCCAGAGGGTGCATTGGCGAAAGTTCACCGCACTATCGCCAATTGGCGAAAGTACAGTAAACTTTCGCTATTGGCGAGAGTCCTATTTGGCGAAAGTCTTATTGGCGAAGTTTCGGAATCCCTGTAACGCCTTTCGAGCCTTCCTATTCTCATCAAAAAGTACTCTAATAAAAGGTAACTTGATACAGAAACAATAAAACCTAATAGTACGATTGAAAAAGAAACCAACTGAATATCTGATCACATCCACAATGCGATTCTACTCGCAGCACTGTAAGTCTCATGATTGTGGCAGAAGATCTATTTCAGATAGCATGGCCATGTCTGCGCCTTTTCAACGTAAGCGAGCACTAGTGGTTGGAATCAATAAATACCTTAATGATCCATTAAAATACTGTATAAATGACGCGCAAGATTTGGAAAGAAGCCTGACAAATATTGGATTCACTGTATTGACTGGGATAGACTGTGATTACAAACAGTTCCATCAGTTGCTCGAAACTGTCATTGAAAAAAGTCAACCAACTGATTTAATATTATTCTATTTTTCTGGCCATGGTAAGCAAAATGAGAGTGAGAACTATTTATTACCATCGGATTATAATTACGATTACAAGGGCAGTGAACACGATTACATAATACAACACGGTATTAGCGTAAAGCACATAATGAAGCGAATAGATGATCAGAGATGCCGCATTTCAATATTCATATTTGACTGCTGCAGAAACTACGTACAAACTCGAACAATAAATACGGAAACAGGTTTATCAACAAAGATGCATGTGTCACCACAAACTCTAACTGTCTTTTCTTGTGCTCCGGGTAAAACAATACTTGATGAAACGTACAATGGAAGAAATGCTGTTTTTATTGAGAGTTTATTAAATCACATCACAAAACCTGATGTTGATATTGAAAGTATGCTCAGAGATGTTGCTCACGATATCCAATTAAAAACCAACGGCTTTCAACTACCATTTCGTACAAGCTCTCTGACAAAACCACTATACCTGATAGCGAAAAACGTTCGAAGTAAGTCTGAAGGGCTGTGGGTGTGGATGTTGTAGAGTGTGTGTGCTGGTCTAAATGCTGCTTAGAATGAGTTTCATACTAGAAATCCTCACTCATGCCCATACTTCGTTGTATGAGAATACATGGGTGTCAGTTCGGTAGCGTTGGTGTGAATGTGATGTGTAAGTGGATCTGGGTACTCTGACAATCCTAAAAGAAATCTGCGGAATCATTTCAGTCCATAAGAAATTGTGTGATTCAGCTGGTGGAGTGATCCTTCATAAATGGTTCTGGAGAAGAAAACCGGCTTTGGCGAGAATTTTCGAACCAGTTTTCTTTGTCCGAAAATTTGTTTAGAAATTTCGTCGAGTAGGTAAAAAACAAGCTTTTAAAGGATTGAAAAGCTCTGTAGATCTCCTCTCTCATAAGAGTCTCCATGTGTGTGCGAGTGTCATCGTAGGATGTGGGTGTTGGTGTGGTTGAGTGAATCGGTTTAACTTTTAACATAATAAAGAGTGCACGTGTGGTTGTCGAAGTATGTGTCTCTGAATATCGATCTTCGGTGTAAGCACGTTTGTATGTACATGCTTATGTGGTTGTGGACGAAGAGTAGATCAGAATTAACTGACAGTGACATCATCCGCGCTTTTCTCAACTTGCTTGTGTCGCATGACTTCATTGGTTTCCAGGAGTTTCTTTGGTTCCGTGAGTTCTATAGTCTCCTAAATCTTCGTGAAGTAAGCGTTGTTTTAATTTTCAAAAGTTTCAAGAGCTCAGAACTGACGAAATCCGACCACGCCTCACGAACACAGTCACATCCAAACACTACATCTCATACTGACGTTGATAAACCACAACTTGCACCCTCGCATCTAGCCAACCACTCAACCACCTTCACAGAGTAGAGAGAACGATGATTTTCATGAGATGAAAAAATACGGGCCTCTATTCTTCGAACTTTTTCGCAAATAGAATAAAAAATGTTTCATAATAATTGAGGATAAATTGCTAACTATATTTTTTACACTTTTTCTTGAGGTAGAAAGCTGAAATTTTCATCAAATGTATACCTAATCAAGCTCTTTAGCTATAACTAGTGGTGAAATACATCGACAAGACTGAAGCATAAACACTCTCCTACTTGATTTTTGTATTTTTTTCACCGTCAAAACAAAATGAGATAAACGAGTACAAAAAATTATATATTTCAATCTTAAGATGTATGCCACCACCAGTTATAGCTAACGAGCTGAAACTTTCAGAATTAAAAGAGCTTGATTAGATATACTTGGTTAGAAATAATATTATTTCAGAGGGTATCGCTATGATTTCAAATAGCGTAATCAATGAATTTTATGCCAAATCAAAACTCGCAAAAAATGGGATTCAGAAGTACAAGTTGCCATTCGTAATATGAGAATATGCTATAGAATTACGGAATGTTTCGAATTTTAGATACATATTCGGAAATTTCCACGAGTAGTCAACCACCAAAACATCAGACTTTTTCGCCTTTCACGCTTTATAGAGCTTTGTTTGCTGACCATTTTGTTAAAGAAAATTTTTAACTTGATTAATCGATAATGATCCTGGAATCCCAATGCTCGCCATAAAAATATTAGCTCTATCAGCCACAGCAGCTTGAAACTGTCGGCTTTTGAACCTTAGGGTCATCATTGATTGATCAAATTAAAAATTTTCTTTAACAAAATGGTCAGCAAACAAAGCTCTATAAAGCGTGAAAGGCGAAAAAGTCTGATGTTTTGGTGGTTGACTACTCGTGGAAATTTCCGAATATGTATCTAAAATTCGAAACATTCCGTAATTCTATAGCATATTCTCATATTACGAATGGCAACTTGTACTTCTGAATCCCATTTTTTGCGAGTTTTGATTTGGCATAAAATTCATTGATTACGCTATTTGAAATCATAGCGATACCCTCTGAAATAATATTATTTCTAACCAAGTATATGGGATAAAAATTTCAGCTTTCTACTTCAAGAAAAAGTGTAAAAAATATGGTTAACTAACTTAAATATCCGGTGTTGCCCCGAAAATCCAATATTTCATCCTTGACATATTCGAAAACGGTAGCCTTATGGTTTCCTATAAGTAACTGGTCTTGGGTATTGCAAAAGACGTTCAAATCCATTTCCCTTTCCAACTGTTTTTGGTTTTTGGCATTTTTAAATTTTGTGAAAAATGTTTTTTTTTATTTTAAAAATATTTTCGAAAGTTTGATGAACGTTTTGAATAATTTCTAAATTAGCTTGAAGTTAAAAGAAGTTCTTTGAAAAATGGTTTCACTGTTTTGTAACATTTTCGCTGAAAACGTGATCGAAAGAATATTACTCACTATGAAAGCATGCTAAAATTTCACTGGTTAGATTATCGATCAATTAAATTTGAGCATACTTTCATACCGTAGAATCTTCTGTGTCCAATGGCGAAAATCTCAGGTCTTTATCTCATTTGGTTCTCGAGTTATTGACAAAACAGTCACACGCACGGACTTTTGGAATGGGACACTTACTGTAGCGCGCCAACAATAGAATTATTAAGTACCCCGGAAGTAAAAATTTTGGATTGAAAAGTAGTCCTTGGCCTTCCGGTGGACAAAAGAATATGCCATACAAAGTTTGGTTGCACTGGCTCCTACAGGGTCCAAATGCATAAAGAACAAACGAACAAACATCCTTCTTTATATATTAGATAATTTATTCTCAGTTATTGTGAAACACCCTTTACATTGAGACATTTTACTTGATAGCGATTTTATCTCGTCTAGTTTTTCTTGTCCTATTGAGACTGACTACGGTCATGGCAAAAAGGAAATTTGGTTTGTATCCAAGAAGCATCACTTTGCGACTCTCAAACGAACATACTCCTGCTTCCTTTTTTTGCAGTTGTCCCCAACATTGCTTCTAACGCCACTTGGAATTGTAATGCTACCACCGTGGCTGGAGGTAATGGCGCTGGCAAGGAACTCAACCAGCTCCACCATCCATGTGGTCTATTTGTGGATGAGGATGAAACGGTCTATATCGTGGATCGTACAAATGGGCGTATCCTGGAATGGAAATATGGTGCCAACAGCGGCAGCGTGGTAGCATGTGGAAATGCAAATAATCAGCTTAGCGGACCAACCGATCTATTTATTGACAAAATGACAGCCAGTGTGTTCATATGCGATCGAGGAAACCAGCGAGTAGTTCGATGGCCTCGCCACAGGGATACCGGTAACAAGACAATCCTTTCGAATATTCTTTGTTGGGGACTAACAATGGATGACCAACGGAATCTCTACGTTACTGACACCAAGAAGAATGAAGTTCGGCGATATCGAATGGGAGACACGAATGAATTTGTAGTAGCACGTGTAACCAAAGAATCTGATCGTCTTAATCAACTCAACGGTCCTGGCTATGTTTTTATCGATCGCGATCAGTCGTTGTACATTTCTGATTGTTTTAATCATAGAGTAATTCAATGGAAAAAGGGTGCGAAAGAACCGACTGTTGTGGCGGGTGGTCGAGGCAAAGGAAACTCTCTAACACAACTCTTTTACCCTAACGGCGTTTTCGTCGACTCTTCAGGCACTGTATATGTAGCAGAGGCAGGAAACGATCGAGTAACGCGTTGGCCCAAAGGAAAATTACAAGGAACGATTATTGCTGGTGGTAATCGCAAAGGAAATGGGCCAAATCAATTAGATCATCCTGAAGGTTTATCGTTTGATCGTAACGGCCACCTGTACGTCGTCGATCGCGGTAATCATCGAGTGCAACGATTTTCCATCAAAGAGACAAATTGAGCGACTAGAGTGAGATAAATAAATTAGATTGGTGTATTGAGCGTTTTGAAGACATGATGTCAACTCATACTCTACAAAGACTCACATATTAGGGTGTGGGTGTGGGTGTGGGTATGGATGTGAGTGTGGGTGTTGGTGTGGGTGTGGTATGATTGTGGAGTGGTGTAAGTGGGGGGTGTGAGTTCAAGTCCCGTTTTAAATCTAACACCCACACTCACACTTACCCTCAAAAGGATATTACTGGCCATTAGAGTATGCTAAAATCCGATTGATCAGCAAAAAGGCCAATCAAGATTGAGCATACTTTCTTGCCTCAGAATCTCTTGTATGCAATGACGAAAATTTCAGATCTTTATCTTCTTTCATTCTCGATTTATTGAAAAAGCAGTGGTACGCTCGGACTTTTTGGATGGGACACTTACTGTATCGCCCCAATAATGGAGTTACAAAGTACTTCGAAGTAAAAATTTTGGATCGAAAAGTAGCTCTTTATTCAGGGGCAGCACGCAGAGGTAAAAACTGAAGGAGGGCACTAAAAAAAATAGGAGCAAATTTTTCAAAACGTCTGAGAGGTCGAACGAAGATTTTGCCAATTTTCAGAAACTTGGCGGAGAGGAGAACCTCCCCACCCACCTTTCTCGGACGCACCGACCCCGTCTTGACCTTTTTCTGGACGAAAGGGTATACTATGCAAAGTTTGGTTGCACTAGCTGTTACAGGGATCAAATACATAAAGAACAGACAGACAAACATTCTTCTTTATATATTAGATTGTCGTAATCAACACTTGAAGGAATGAACGAATAATTTCCTAAAGTAAAAGCTGATATGAGAAAGCTAGAAATCCCAAAACTGATGAATTTGCCTTTTCTCTCTAAATCAGAGGTGTCTTCATTCGAACACATAAGGTTGCCAGCAAAAATCGAACTTGATAGAATGAGATTCAACGAAAATCGACGACGCTGGCCAATTTTTGCTATTCCTATTGACGAGGATGGAGATTCTTCGCTTTATGCTGATGGAGATGTATTGTATTTCCAATTATTGCTTGACTTTCTGCGAGCTATGAATTGGACAAATAAGAATGGAAAGGAATTTCTTACAATTTGGAGAAAAAAATGCATAGACACTCCAAATGACATGAAAATTCTTGAAGAATTCATACAGAATTATTCAAATGATAGGACTATATGGTGGTAAGTGTGTCTGACGACTGGATATGATATTTTCTTAAAGAATGTCTTCTAATTAAATAAGGTTTCGTTTTTCACTATTAGCATTTCTTAATGTTAGTAGAGTAACCAAGCGGGTAGGAGTGGGCAGGTGGGGCTCAGTCCTACCACCGGGAATTTCAGCCCTATCATGCTTACTTTGATATATAACAGTAGACAAAATTCAATTAGGGCATTCTCCAATGAAGTTTTAGTTGTTGAGAATGTCTGTGTAATCTTCAATAAAAATTTTATCAGACAAATTAAAAGGTACTTAATGATTTGTAAGAATAAAACGCTCCCTTTTTATGTTTTGTCCTTAATTTATGACTAAAGTACTTGATTATGGTAAAGCACAGCAACTAATTCTATCTATAATTGAAGAGCTTGACTCTGTTCGGGATGAAAAATCTTTTCAACAATAATAAGTTTTTGTGAAAAAAAACAACATAAATCTCAAAGATAAACCAACACAACATCGAAAACGAACTGTTTCTATCAGATTCAAAGACTCAGTTACTACTAGTACGATTGGACAACAGGATGATCATAAAAATAAACAATACTATAGAACATATATTTATTATCAATTAGTTGATAATATACTAGTGAAGTTAAAAGATCGATTTTCATCAAAAATTGTAAATATTTTATCAAGCATTTCATCATTATGCCCATATAATGATACGTTTTTACATTTTGACTCGTTAAAAACATTTGCTGATCATTTGAATTTTGATGTTGATGTTCTGTTCAATGAACTAGTTGTTGTCAAACCCATGTTACAACATAAACCGCTAACTACTATAATTGTTTTATATCAAGAATTATATCCTTTTACAGAAACATTGCTAACACTTAGTGCGCTTATCGAAAGTGCAATGACTATTCCAGTATCTTCAACGACGTGCGAATGCATATTTTCAAAAATGAAACTAATCAGGTGGGGTGTGGGTGTGGGATGTAGATTAGGAAAACAAATAAATGCACATCCACACTCCATATCCACCCACTCTCTACACCAAGATTCTGTCTGTCATGGCCTGTAGGAAGAAAGGAACGGGATTCAAAATTTCCACCCTATATGCTTCAATACTTCTTTCAAATGGTGTTTCACAATATTCATTTTTTCAAAAAATAAGTTGTTTACCTTTAATAATATACCTGAGACTGGATATATGTTTATTTTTGTTTCTTTAAAAATCAGGATATATTAATCAAGGAGTTTTATATTTGGCATCTTATTGGAAATGTGCAGGGGAATTTGATCGATTTTATATTGACATTTCGAAAGTATACTATTTTGGGAACATACACGGCTATGTATATTCTGTACGATCTTTTTCATTATAATATCTTTCTTTCGTTTCTTCCAAAATCTTATAACATTTCGACGGTTTTTTATTTATATTGTAATGAGGTAAAGTACCATAATTAATCCTATCTTTCTTTTTGATTAATTCAAAAAACATGTTCAGCATCTCGAACATCATCGACTCTGATTCATCAATATAAGAGACTACAGCGTGTGCTAATTAGCTCGTATGATACTTGTGTAGAACAAATGTTTTTGATAAATTGATCATGAAAGTTTATGGAAAATAATTTTAAAAATGGTTGACAAATGTTATATAAAATTTTCTTTCGTGAGGCAGGTTCCTTATAACATGTGACTTTGTAGTATTTGTAATAAAATTTTAAAAAAGTTATTTCTTTGGTGATTTATTCACGAAATCCATTTTGATTGAAAAAAAAAATTAATAATGCTGAAATTTGATGTTCTTTCAAATAATTATAGAATTTCTGAGGATACGATGTTTCAAATTATTGATAGAGAAAAAGCTAGCAGAAATCAGTAAATGACAGTTTAAAAAGGAAATCATCTTGAATAAGAAACAAAAATAAAGTATTATTAATTATGTTCACATTTTACGTGTATAGTAGACGACAAAAGTATTGTACCACTTTGGAAATTTTAATTGATTTTGAATAAAATAAAATTGCAATAGTGTGATATTAATGCATAGTATTTATAATAAATGCCAAGTTCGTTTCAAAAAAAAAATTTCTCATTCTTGAACCATCACAGAAACAATTTTATTCTTTCTTAACGGATAAATGATAACGTATATAGTGGCGATAGGAATGCATCTATTCATGAAGCTTCGATTCAAAGATAGAATCATTTTTATATTATATATCAACGGTTTCGGCTACTTTTTTTCAACTTCGACTTAGTGATTCCACGGCGCTCTATCTAAGTCTTATACAGATCTTCATCACAAGAATCTATTTCAAACGAACTTGGCATTTATTATAAATACTGTGAATTAACATCACACTATTGCAATTTTATTTTATTCAAATACAAATAAAATTTCAAATGTGTTAAAATACTTTAGTCTTCTACTATAACTTTCAAAGAATGTCAGTTGTAATTGCAACCTTGAGAATCTTATTATTTTAACCCATTGAGTGTCTGTCTTTTTGAAGTATACACATCAAAGTAAAAACCTTTCATCTGACTCTTGATTACAAAGTAGATAATCTTTATATGAAATATCTGTTTAAAGCAATTAATGCTGTAGACCATCATACAGAACGTCTTTAGCTTTCTAGATCATGTCGAGAAATTAAACTGTCCCTGTAAAAATATTCTTATGTTTTTCCTCATCAGACTACGCTCCTAAGTTCTCATGGCAACTTTTACATTTGCATTCCACAGCGTATCAATTAGTTGTCGTTTTCCAGATAGTTTGACGAAAGATTTTTAAGTAGAAAATACTAGTACTACAAAGTAATTGTGATCGAATCGTTTCTTATCTTTCTTTCAATAACTTCGCAGATAGAAAACAAGAATCGCATTCTCACCCATCTACAAGTTAGCATATTCTGCTTTCGAAAGTCATGTGTCATGCTTGACAGCTGGTCAAATGAATTCCATATTTTTGTTTTGACATCAGGAATATATTCTTGTTTATTATTGAATATATGCACGAGCGGGTACAACCTCAATCTGTAGATAAGCGAAAACGAAAACATTGACAAAAAGATGTCTTTCTTGTTTTCTTTGTTTTCACTACGGTATTGTGTGCTGAAGAAATTGAGACATCGAGCATTAATGAAGAATCTGGATTCACATGTTCTTTCGGACGACACTGAAAAACAGACGTCGCAATAGGTGTTTGTTCATTCGTCTGCTTGACTCGAAGACAAACAGACTTGTCGGATAATTCAATTAATTCTAAAAAACGCTTGCGATACGCATAAACATTATTCAACTGCTGGAAAAGAGAATCTCGATGATCATTATTCCAGTCATCATATTTCAGTGCTCCTGAAAAATGAAGACCACGTTCGAAATATTTTAATACAGGAGCAAAATCTTGGTCTTCTTTAATTTCTTCATGAATTCGATTTCGGCTGTCGCTACTCTTTGATTCGCAATGAGTTATGACAAGACAGAGATTTTTACACAATTCTTCACCGAAATGCTTGACTAATGATAAAATTAGATCTATATCCTCTTTTTGTAGACCAGAAACGAAAGAAATACAAAAACAAATAAGATGATACTCATAAATATTGCACAAGGATGTCCATAGGCATGTCTCGACAATTTTAACATGTTGATTGAAGAGGAAGTTACAGGGCGCAGTAATATCGTTAGTTAGAAGAACAAAGTCGGCAGAAATATAACATGGGTTTTTGAGTACTTCTATAAATGTAGTTTTTCCACTTCTTGGACGTCCAATAACCAATATATTTCGAGCATAGGGGAACCTTTCG